GTCATTGATGTTGCCAAAAAAAAAAAAAAAAAAAGTTTACATGAATTCATTGTAGTCCAGCAGGGCAATGTAATATACCCAGATTCTATCTTATAGTGTCACCCTCTAACCATGTGCCAGACCCTGTGTCTATATTAATTAGCTCTATCGGTTTTACAGAAACCTCACAAGGTAAGTTCTGTCTTAGGTCCCATGGTCACAAATAAATAGGCTGATGCGGGTCTTACAGGTTCTGTACACTGCCCAGGTCCAGGAGGTAGTAGAGCTGGGCTAGAATCTAGGTCCACCTGACCCCACAGCTTAACCCTTATTGTCTCTAGCAACAATAGGTAATGTTGATTTGGTCCTTCTTCTACACCACATGGTATTCTAAGCACTTACCATGCGATTTCATACTGGATACTCACAATATTTCATTTGCAAATTCTACTTTTGCTACCATCATTTTATAGATGATGAAAAGGGAAGATCAGAAAGGTTTAAGTAACCTTTTTAAAAAAAGAAAAAAGAAAAAGTAAAAGCATTTTTTTTTGGCACGAAATAACTAAACTGTCCTCCATGCTTCCTCGATTCCTCTCTACTTTGGCATGCAGGCTGGCCAAGCTAGAGAATATAATGCTGTGTATAAACATGAGTGCCTTGCTCTCATCTACAAGAGTCAAAGAAAAATACTTGAGTTGCCAAGGTGAAACTCATCATACCAATAAACAGCAAAAGGCCCTTCAATCTTTCGATCAGTGAATTCTATACCTAAATAAAATAATTATTGCTTTCATAAAATGTCTCTGTTTGCCACTGACAGAGAGTAAACCCAACCAGTATGTCTGCAATAGCCTTTAAATAACCAAGGAGAGAGATCAAAATAAAAATAAATCTTGACCAGATTTATAGGTGCACCTTGATTGGTTCTTGTTTTTTCCTTCAAATAAGCAATACCTGAAAAAAATGAAAAGGGAATGTTGAGACCAGATATCTTGTAATAGATGGGTTTTCTCTGACATACAGTATGGCATAATGCTGAAAAACTAATGCGGGAGGCTTGCCAGCAAAGTAGAGCCCCAAAAAAGAAAAGGGGATTTTTCAGGCTGTAGAATGGTAGAATGGTGCAACCACTGGGATTTGAACAAGCTATCATTTTTTTTTAACTTCTTGAAGTTTTTTTTTTTTAATTTTGTGACATTTTGTCATTTTCTCCACATAACCAATTGTTTACTTCAAATGGTAACAATTTCTTGACTCAAAAATTCTTTTTTTTTTTTTACTCAAAAATTCTAATGTTAAAATCAAACGTAGTCCATTCAGACATAATTCTGACTGGCGAACAAGAAGGCCTATCTTGTAAGAATTTAATTATGCACAATGTGATACAACTAGGATTGTTTGCCCACTAAGCCATCACTTTTCTTTGGCATCTTACATCATTAGTAGAAATACCGGTCAATAAAACTAGGGATTATTGTTTTTAAAAGAGTGAAGTCTCATTTTTCTATAAACCACCTTTCTAATGAAAACTTCTTTTATTTCCCTCAGGCAGCACACTTTATCTAAGACGTATTTGGCTAGTTGAATAAAAATACCTGTTAAAGGAAAGAAGGTTCCCATCAAAGCTGTTGAAATCTGATTTCATTTGAGATTCTACAACTAATGTTGTTTTTTGTTTAAATAGATTTTGTCTGTCAATTTCCAGCCCTGCTGTGCCATCAGCCTGTATGGACTGCTGTGGTCAACACGGGGGTTGTAGCAGCAAATTTTATTATGGACTGGTAATTGAATTGAACAGGTTTACATTTGAATAGATTTACTACATCATGATCTCTGACATACTGCATGGGACCGAAATCCCTCTCCATCCATAAAGATACATTTAAGACAGTATCATTCTCTCCAGGCTGAGGAGGCAAGTCCTGAGCCAAGGAGATGGCCAAACATAATCGTGCATTTATATGCAGGGTGTAATGTAATATTTCACTGCATTTTTAAGTACAAAAGAAAAGGAATATTCTGGATTTACTCATAGCCATCCTTTTGGGGGAGGGGCTTAGAGAACTGGTATTTTTCCCATCAAAGTGGGCATAAGGAAGTAAAGGGAAATAAATTATTATTTGAGTATATCAGCAACAGCAGCAATTCCCTTGAAAACAGACCCTCCAAAGGCTTGATAACAGCAACTGAAGAGGTGTGAATAACAGATAAGCACCGGCCCATTTCTTTCACCAACAATGTTTAATTAAACACAGTTCACACCTCCTTGATCACTCTAACCACCCTTCACGATTGCTCCTGCTTAAAACCCACAATGGGGGAAATTATTTAGGGGACAAAATTTTTTTTTTTCATTTTGTCCATAAACCTGGAAATGCAAGGAGTTGAGTAAATCACAGTAGTAAGATTAAACGAGTCACAAAATTCTACCAACCTGGAAACGGAGACATATCTCCATGCACTTTAGTTTTTTGAAAATAAAATCCACATCTAGGACACATCAATTCAAAGTGCTAATTGATATATTGCTCTTGTAACACTTTTACAAAAATGGGTTTGCTCTTTGAAAACTATTCCTCAACTCCCAGCTTTTGATTAACCCTTCTGGAATGAGTGTAACTTTAGTGTGGTTCTCTACAGCTCAAGTAAGTGGCAATATAACGATCAAAAATGGACCATCAATAACTTATTATTTTTTTGTAAACTAGGTTTGGTTTGCTACTCTGCTATAGTGTTTAAGGCAATTACGAAGATAAAGCTTTCAACCTCAAAAGAAGTAAGCTATCACCATCATCCTAACTAAAAGCAAATTCCTCGTCCTGTGGATTGGGTCATAATGTTTGGGCTCTTATCTATATGTTTTCCTTTGTCAAAACTGTCCCACTGGCATTTCTATGTAAGGTTTTTCTCTAGCAAGAACAACCATATCCAACTTTCTCACTGCTGTACCACTAGAGCCTAGAACGGTGCTTGGCTCACTGAAGAAACTTAATAAATATTTAGCAAGTGGATTATAAACCTAAATATAGCAACTATGAAAAATCCTAATGGTGGGCGACCCAGGTGGCTTGGGGGTTTAGCGCCGCCCTCAGCCCAGGGCCTGATCTTGGAGACCTGGGATCAAGTCCCATGTCGGGCTTCCTGCATGGAGCCTGCTTCTCCCTCTGCCTATGTCTCTGCCTCTCTCTCTCTCTCTCTCTCTCTCTCTCTCTCTTTCTCAGTCTCTCATGAATAAATAAATAAAATCTTAAAAAAAAAAAAAAAAGAAAAAGAAAAATCCTAATGGTGCCAAAGGCTATACGGTGAAAAGGGAAAGTACCTCCCCTCCTCAGCATATTCATGGTATCCCACTGTCCCCAATCCTTATGTATCCTTCCTTCCACTTCTCCATGTATACCCCATCACAAATGCACATCTCCCTTCTACTATTTTTTACTTGACAATAACATCTGGTGTCATCTTTTCGTAAGGCTTTAATTATAAAGTTATGTGCTCTTTGTTTATAGCTTTCCCCTCGCCCACACCAGGGCTGAAGAGGAGAGTCAGAGATGAGAAGAATTTGAGAGAATCTTCTCTATGTTCCTTGTCAATGAAGAGTTAGCTCTTTATTGGTCCAGTAAAGAGTGGAGAAATGGGGCATGAATTCCACATACCCAAATATAACTTATCCGCTCATCTTCCTATGACATTATTAACAGTAAAAATCATAATTAAGAACAAACCAGGAAAAATTAGGAGATCTAGGAATGCCATACCTAATTGAAGTTCCAGTTTGTTCTTCAGGAATAAACACTTGGATATATTTGGATTTAGATGTTAAAAAGTCAGAGATCAAAAAAAAAAAAAAGTCAGAGGTCTTCAGTAACAGCAAATATATAAACTAATAGGACCAACTCCATGAACAAAGCATATGTTATGACTCAACAGAAGCAATATATTTAAATGTAATTTACCTAATTTTCTTTCAAACTTTGATTACTGCATATGCATTTTGTTATTTTATAAAAGTATCATATTTATTTTAAACTCTGGTAAATTTTCTGAAGAGAAAGAGATAGGAAGATCTAAAAGCCATAAAAAAATGCACATCTACAAAAACATACACATAGACGGAGATGTATTTAAAAACAAAACAAAAACACATGTAGGCCTTCCAAAGAAAAGAATAATTTCTTTCTATCTCCCAGCTAAAATGTTAATTTCACTGGACATGCTGAGACACAAAAATATTTCAGGACCTTGGATATGGGGGGAAGAAGTAATTGAATTCTAGAATCTGTCTGTGTTTAGTTCTGGCTTCTACTACGTGTTAGCTGGGTAAACTCAGGCCATAACTGAATACATGGTCACTGTTATAATTCTGTGTTTGTTGGTGTTATCCCTTGGCAAAAGCAACAACTTCAGTATCATTATTATAGGTTCTTTATAATAGAACGTAAGTCCAAAATATAAGATTGGAAAAAAAAAATAAGGAGTGCTTTAAACCTAAAATTAATTTTTTAAAAAAGTGGTGACAATATGAAATGATGTTAATTAGCTTGACTGCGGCAATTATTTTACAATACTACTATGAATATCAAAACATCAAGTTACATACCTTAAACATACACAATTTTTATTAGTCAATTATATCTCAGTAACGATGGAAGGGAAAAATCTGTCTGCAAACATAGAAGTGAGAAGAAACACAAAAGACAAGTACTAGCCTCTTGGTATATTCTTTGTCCTTCGCCTTCTGCAACTTGTACAGATGAAAAGAATCTAGAACTACCAAGCATACCTGGTGGGGTTTAGCTGCACATTGGATGATTCCTACCTTGTCCCTTCCTGTTGATGTCAAGCAGGTAGCCAGGACATATCAGAAAACTCAGGTGTAAAGATGTATTTTGCCATTGGATTCAGAGAGCTTACAGTGACCCCCTCTTTTCCTGGTTTCTCTAGCATTTCTGTAAATCCCTGTACACACCCTTCCCTCCACTCCTAACCAAAAGCACAGGGCCCCTAGAAACACGCCTTACCTTCTTTCAGCATGCCCACTTTTAAACACTTCATGAAGCGGCAAGCCTGGCAGGATTTACGTCTGCGCTTTGTGATTTCACATTCATTCGTGGCAGGGCAGCTATATTCTATATTACCTAAAACATAGAGTTTGAAGAAAAGCAGTTAGATTTTCAAAACCCAGGAAATGTGAGCATCCCAGAGGCAATACCCACTCTGTTATTCCTGCCTCCCCACTCAAAAAAAAAAAAAAAGTCACATGAGGTTCATTAGGATGTCATAAATCTCATGAAGCTGGATGCTCTGTGGCAACCACTGAAGATGCACTGAATAGGGGCGCCTGGGTGGCTCAGTCAGTTAAGTGTCCAATTCTTGATTTTGGTTCAAATCATGACCTCACAGTCTTGAGATCAAGCCCACCGCTTAAGATTCTCTCTTTCCTCACCCCCTGCCCCCCTTTCTCTCTCTTTCTCTCTTAAAAAAAAAGAGGCATTGAATAATTGGAAGATACATGGTAAAGTATCTCAAAGATTAAGTGTAAAGTTAGCCTCTAAAACATTACACTTAGGGACGTCTGGGTGGCTCAGCGGTTGAGTGTCTGCCTTTGGCTCAGGGTGTGATCCCAGAGTCCCAGGACTGAGTCCCACATCGTGCTCCCTGCATGGAGCCTGCTTCTCCCTCTGCCTATGTCTCTGTGTCTCTCTCTGTGTTTCTCATGAATAAATAAATAAAATCTTTAAAAAATAGTAAAATAAAATAAAATAAAACATTACGCTTAGTCTATCCATGCAAAATAACAATCTTCCAGAACCTTAGAATCTAAAAGAAATTTCAAAGCAAATTATTTCCATAAAAGCATGAACATCACAACCACAGTCTTGTATCATCAATCCTGGATTTCTTTTGGTTACTAATGTTCCAACGTATTGGGCTTATTGTCTTTCTGACACTAAACAGCATAAACCCCACCGTGAAAAATGATCAGCAGGCTAATCCGGGGCCTTACAGTAAGCTCCTAGAGGGCAGGGACTGAAATGACATGGCTCTTGTAGCAACACCTACCCGGGATTTACAACACAGATCTCTGCTGAGTAAATACTTATTGAGGAAGAGGAGGAGGAGGATGGTGATGATGACCATCATCACCTTATTTGTTTGTTACCTTATTTGCATAATGAATTCCAAACAATCAAGCTCCATGGAAGTGTCATAAATAAAAATAAACTGTTATGAAACTATATTTTTAATGTCCGTTGATATTACTTATGGTGGTACTTACACATCTGAAGTTGATAAATATGTAGCCAGAAGAAGGTCCAAACTTTAACTTAATTTTTTTTTCAATTAATGCCAATGACAGTGTATGTGCTTTGGGGCTGCCTACAGCTTTGTAAAGAAGCTGCCTTTAAAATAGAGCCTCTCTCCCCTATCAGCTCTGTCACATAGCGCTTGAAGGTCTTTCCTTACTTCCTAACCCTTTCCCCTTGTGATTAAGTGCATTAGTATCTTAATGAAAATGCATTCTGTTTATTGCCCTCTTGGGAAGGGGGAGGTCATCACACCAAATGCATAAATTGTCATCAGAGACGGTCCGAGCATAATTGCAATTTTGCTGCTCCATGTTTGCAATACTCAGGGTCCGTCCAAGTCCCCTGAAACATGCGCAGATTCTAGTAATTAGCATAGAGTCTGCCTGGGACCACAGCATTGATGAAATATTTCAGAGTTAATCACACTTTGTAAACACTGATTTATATTGACTACCTTTCTCCAGACTGATGTCTCCTCATTAAATATCACATTAGTGGATTGCAGGATTGTACAAAGACTCAACTACTCAGCAACTGCTAATTCAACAGGAAGTAATACCCAACCACTTATAACTACTGAAAATTGGTTAAGTATGCATGACTAAAAAAAATACATATATATATATATATATATATGAACAACTGTGCATTATAATTTGAGAAAAGCCTATCAAAATTATTTGACTCAACTAGCATTCTAACTCAGGGCATTTATAATAATAAAAGCAACTGCTTTTTAAAGTAAGAGGTTAAATAATAAGAGTAATATTAACTGCATCAACAGAAGCACACACCATCACTTTCTTCAGATATATTACTAACACCCAGAAAATTACAGATAAGTCAAAGGAACCAGACTGCCTGGGTCATGGCTGAGAATAAAAGGATTTAGAGTCTGAACTTTAGATGAACCATTTTTCACTGCTGAGTTTCTTAAACCATCACTGAAAAATGTATTTTGCATCCAGGGAGTATTACTAGTAATTTCCTAGGGGTTAATTAGTATTCTATTACCAGATCCTTTTACTCCACCCACCTCTTCCTATACTTATTTAAAAGAAACTTGGCCTTTGCTTTCTTAGAAAGAGCTGAACAATAACTAGTTAGGGAAAAAATGGTTTCCAAACAGCATTTCTTGCCTCCTTTTGCCTAACAAGTCAGTATGAAGTCCTAACTTTGCTTACTTTCCAGTATTAAAGCCTGACCCGCATTTTAACCCAATGCTGATAACTTCTCCCCACCATCTCTCTCCCACCTACACACACACACACACACACACACACACACACAAATCACTCTCATTTCAAACTAGTTTCTCTTCCTCAGAAAATTCTATCCTCCTCCTCCATGAGAACACACTTCTGACAGGAACCTCAATCAGGCATGTGTGAGCTCACACCTGGACTATGGCAGTTATCGCCTAACTGGGCATTGTGCCTCCATTCTGTCCCCCTGGAATCCATGCTGCATGCCTCTTCCTAGGGCTGCATCGGGTTATGTCAGTAGCTTAATTTAAAAAAAAAAAAAAAAAACACTACATTTCTATAGCCTCTTGAATTAAATACAAAATATTAGATTAGCAAACAAAATCCCCACCCAATATAACTCCCATCTACTTATCCAACAATATTACAAATATTACCTCATATGAACTTTCTGATGCAGCCAATTCAATTTATTCATTTTTTGCTGTGTCCTTCAGACTTCCCTCTGAGAATGATCTAACTTTGCCCCTCTTCTTAAAATTACTTCCAAGGCTCACTGTTCAACTCAAATTCCATTCAAATCTTTCATGAAAACCTCTCAGACCATCATAGCAGAAAATGACTTCTTGGTTCTCATATCTTTTCACATACTCTCATCACATACAGACATGCCATATTTTGTCACACCTTTTTTGCATGCATATTACCCATTAGATGGTAAGATCCTGGAGGCAAGGAGCATTTCTTATACAGTAGAAAAATCTTCCTCCAAAAAGTAGTAAATAAGTAAAATAGTATGCTTAGGAAAATTTATATTTTCCTGATATCGCAAGGTCATTTTTAGGAACACCAATTATGGTGCTATCATGCAGTAATGTCCACAAGGTCAAGTGAGCTAGATGTCCCATCAGGAAGCAATATTAAGAACATTAGGAAAACTATTACACACACACACACACACACACACACACAAAGTGTTAGGAAACCTAGTTTTTCAAAACCTTAAAAAATGTTTTGACAAAAATGAAAACGCATGGCAAACAGGAAGAGATCATTGAGGGGGAAAAAAAAAACACCAAAGCCTTCGAGGGAGCAAAGTGTGAAAAGAAAGAAACAAAACAATAACAACATAAGAGACTTTAAAGAAAATAAAAGTGCATCTTGATATGAATAGGATAAGAATAAAAGGAAAATAAAACATCCAAATACAGACAGATGGCACTAAAGGGGTTAATTTTTATCTCATCATAGTACTTAGGATTACTTACAAAGTAAGTGCTCTCAGAATTGGAGCCACATTGAAGAAAATATTTAGGAGCAGTTCAATGGTAATAGCTAAATCTATGAATGACTCATCTAAGAATGATTGTATAGGATTTTTAAAATTCTTCAAAAAAAAGAAGGAAAATTGTAAAATTACCACATGAGAGCTTCAGATCACATATAAAGAAGTACTCTAGTTTCCTTTCTAACCATTATATTCCAGAATTCTTCAATGACAAAGGGAAACACAAAGGCAGAGAAATTTTTAATAGTGCCTTAAAATGAGCTCTTGAGGGAGAAGCTCTGTCTTATTCATTGCTGGATCCTCAGTGCTGATCAGTGAGTCTGTAATTTTGGATCATGTGCTGGGTTGGGATAGAAAGAGGTAGTTCCTGCTCTTGAAAAGTCCACAGTCTTACAGAGGAGATAAAACATGTAGCAAATAACAATACAATTTAGCGTGGGGGGCAGTGGTTCTGGATTCAGTACTAGCATGTGTTCCCACAAATGCAGAGGTTATGCCTAAGAAAGTCAATGAATTCTCAATCTAGGAGCAAGTGATTGAATTATGCTGTGAAAAATGAATAAATAACTAGATTGGGGTAGAGGAATCTTTCTAAAGCTATAGGCGATGAAACATTTTTTTTTTTGTAAAAATTTCACTGTGAATGGATAGAAAATACAGCAGCCCTGAATGTTTTCACAAATGATGTATTTTCGGCTTAAGTGTATAGAAATTGTTTACGATGAATCAGGTATCCTTCAGCCAAATTTCAATAAATTAGTCTTGACATATAGGAGTGATAACCTTGATTTCACTAAGTAACACTGGTTTATATCTTGAAAAACAAATCAACATTATTCTAAAGAACTTATTTGCTGGAGGAAAACCTCTCTACTTTCAAAGCCCTCCCATTGAGTTACTTAGTTCATTGTTGTTGGCTATGATCGCCCACCCAACAAAGTCTTTGATCCATGTTAGAGTCTACACAAATTCTGCCCTTGAAATATCTTCCCTGGTGCTTTTTTTATGCAACAACAACAACAAAAACACATTTTATCCTAAAAATGTGCTGCCCCAAGCACCTGGGTAATAATGTTACATCTATTTTGGTAATGGCTCAAAGACATTGCTCCCAGTAGACCACATGATCTCTACAGGGCACTTGTTTTCCTTCGATTCACGCAAAGTGGAAACTAGACAAAAATATTTCCAATAGCAACTGTGGGCACCTGAAATGTGAACACCAGACAATCAGGAGGATGCAGAAGTTATTGTTCACAAGCTAGGATTCTCATTTCAGACACAGAGTTTCCTTGCTATTTCCCAAGACACATTTGTGAGATGGCACCAGGGAC